CCCCACTATTCCAGAAAGGGGCCCATCCCCACTATTCCAGAAAGGGGCCCATCCCCACTATTCCAGAAAGGGGCCCTACCCCACTATTCCAGAAAGGGGCCCATCCCCACTATTCCAGAAAGGTGCTCTACCCCACTATTCCAGAAAGGAGGCCCATCCCCACTATTCCAGAAAGGAGGCCCATCCCCACTATTCCAGAAAGGAGGCCCATCCCCACTATTCCAGAAAGGTGCTCATCCCCAATATTCCAGAAAGGGGCCCATCCCCACTATTCCAGAAAGGGGCTCTACCCCATCCCCACGCCGGACACACTACAGAAATGCCCTTGCCTATTAATCTCCCCCCCCGCCCTTGTTGTAGAAGACACCCGTCCTCCTTATGGAGGTTCATAGATGCAGCCTCGCATCGGACATCCTGAGATATCGCTCCTCATACGGCGACCTTTTATGATGTAAGCAGTGCACGCCGATCACATACGTTCAGCCTCATTGAATGGGGAGTACCCCACTGTGTATAGCTCCGTTAGGATGTACATGGGCTCTTCACGTCCCTACACATGAGCACTGCACCCACTGCCTTCATGTATACTACGGTTATTCTCAATAAATCTCTTGTACAAGAAGCGCGCCCCGTCGCAGGAGGCGGACCTACCTGTTTTTGAACCTATCTAGTGCAGCGATGCCAAAGAAATACATTTTGGATCCGTAAGGTTTGCGCAGTGCTTCCAGTACATAGCGCAGTGCCAGTCCTAGAGCCATGTACGTGACTAGTCCCTTTTCAATGATGCCACCAAACAAACAGGCGGTAATATGCAACTCCTTGTCCGGGTACTGGGGGAAGAAGCGATACTCCTCAAATAGGTTGCGCAGCATGCAGTTGAAGACTTCGCGCTCCCGCTTTATGTTGGAGTCTTTGAACCTTTGCAGCATTTCCAACACCTGCGAGACAGAAAAAGAGGGACGGTGAGAGACGACGCCACACCGCGCCTGGCTGAGGTTCTCAATGGGGACCCCCAAAATGTCATACGCTGGAGCGCACAGGAACAAGGGGACCCCCAAAATGTCATATACGCTGGAGCGCACAGGAACAAGGGGACTACATGGAGGAATCGGTCAGCGTTTGTCAGGCAGGGAACCCCAGATACATCAGGAGGGGGGGGTGATTTTCACTCATAATCTGAGCCGACCGTGACAATGAGACTGTCACAGGTCAGCTCAATAGATCGGGAGGTGAGAGAACACATACCGGCGTTCGCTCACTTCTCGATCTATCCCTGCAGAGAGTTGACACTGTCACTCACGGCTCCCTGCAGGGATTCCCATTTCCCGATCCTCCAGCGCTGACTGGAGGAACGGACGGGGGAGTGGCGGGCACAGCTGGCTCTAGATAGGCAGAGCCAGCTGTCACTCAAGCAGCTGGGTGGATCCAGACAGAATTGTCGGGATCGCTCCCGGCGTCTCAGTATACCGCGAGCTGTAGCTCCCTTTATACTGAGCTTAGGGTGACGGGAGGAGGACGCTAGTTTGTGACTTCCCGTGACCCTGAGGAGAACTATAGGGGGAAAAGCCTTAACCTCATAGTTCTCCTTTAAACAAATTCAGTAGCTGATCTATAGAGTTACTTCATATGCAGTCACTGGCTCTTTATTCCAGTTCCTGATCATTGCTTGATATTTTCTGTGTTAGGGTGACTCGGCTCCCATGCAGGGTCCTATGGATCCACCCTTCTAAGTGCGATCACAGCTGGGACAAGATCAGCGTTCCCCCGATACACCCCCCGAAGCCTCGGATGCGAGGCCTGCTCCCCCCTGACAGAGCTGTGCACGCGCCCCACGAGAACAAGAGTTCTGAAGGCTGCGGCTCACATAACACAAGTGCCGGGCAAAGCTGTGAACAGCCAGGTCACCGGGCAATATGGATTGTGAGGAGTGTATTGGAGGGTTTAATACCAGTGCAAGAAGACCGGCACCAAAGTCAGCCACGTACCTCATCCACGGACATGGTGGGGTGTGGGGGCTGGTTGTAGATGCGCTGGAAGTAGCTGTTGGCTTCGTCGTCGATCTCTTTAGTAAAGTGCTGGTTTTCTTTTGG